ATCGCGATCGCTTCGATCGTCATCGAAGCGATCGGGATCGCTTCGGTCGCGGTGGTCCTCCCCGTTCTCCTTCTCCTCCTCCTCCTCCTCCTCCTCCTCCTCCTCCTCCCCCTCGTGTTCTCCAGCCTCCAACCTCTTCCTCCTCTCTCCTCCCCCTCCTCCTCTCTCCTCCTCCTCCTCTTCCTTTTCATCGTTCCTTGCTCAACATAATGAGCTCATTATGTTGAGATCTCAACATAATCAGCTCATTATGTCCGTGGGCCGGGCGCGGAGCCTCGTCTCCTCGACGCTGGGCCATGGGCCATGCGCGCGCCGCGCCCGCGGCTCTCCTCGGCGGGGGCCTCGAGGAGAAAAAAAGCCCTCAGCCGCGGGCCGCGGCGAGGAGGCGGAAGAGCCCTTTCTCTCTCTCTCTCTCTCTCTCTCTCTCTCTCTCTCTCTCTCTCTCTCTCTCTATCTCTCTTTCTCTCTGTTCTATCGTTTTCCCTCTCTCTCTCTCCATCTCGTCATCTCTCGTTGCATGTGCCCCTCTCGTTCTCTCTCTCTCCCTCTCTCTCTCTCTCTCTCTCTCTCTCTCTCTCTCCCTCCTTCTTTTCCCTTTGTAGAATCCTCTCCTCGTCACCTCTCTCTCGCTTCTCGTCTCTCTATCTCTCTCTCGCTCTCTCTCTCTCTCTCTTTCTCTCCCTCTCTCTCTCTCTCAATTATCTCTCTCTCTCTTTCTCTCTCTCCTCCCCCCTCTTCCTCCTCATCCTTTTCTGCTCTCTTTTCCCTCTCTCGTCAATCTGGAACTCAAGGGCAGCGCTGTCATTCTTCGATGCGGTGCGAACGAGAACACGCGCACACATGCATAAGTTAATCGAAAATGCTGAAAATAGGAAATTTATCGATTAATTTCCTAGTTTCAACATTTTGACATCAAAACATTATACATTGCAATATTATAATCTAGAAATATGTTACAACATGTAACACGATCTTATAATAAGAACACCATGTTATTTTGCATGTTAGAGCAACTACGGTCTTATTTTAAGAACTAACAGACCTCAGGGATGCCCCTCCCATGCCCCGGCACCCCCACCCCTTGGACCCTCTGTTTTTTGGGCCCCCCACCCCGCGATTTCTCGCCCAAACTCAATCAACACCCCCCTCCATGCCCCTCCCGTGCCCTGGCATCCCCACCCCTTGGACCCTCTGTTTTTGGGACCCCCCACACCGCCATTTCTCGCCCAAGCTCGACAAACACCCCCCTCCATGCCCTCCTCCCAAACTCGACCAGCACTCCCCTCCATGCCCTCCTCCATGCCCTGGCGCCCCCACCTCTTGGACCCTCTGTTTTTGGGGCCCCCCACCCCGCGATCCTCCATGCCCCGGCATCCCCACCCCTTGGACCCTCTGTTTTTGGGACCCCCCCACCCCGCGATTTCTCGCCCAAACTCGACCAACACTCCCCTCCATGCCCCTCCCATGCCCCGGCATCCCCACCTCTTGGACCCTCTGTTTTTGGGACCCCCCACCCCGCGATTTCTCGCCCAAGCTAGATCGGAAACCCCCTCCAGGCCACTCCCATTGCCCCGGCATCCCCCACCCCTTGGACCCTCTGTTTTTGGGACCTCCCAGCCCGCGATGTCTCGCCCAAACTCGACCAACGCCCTCCTCCATGCCCGTCCCATGCCCCGGCATCCCTACCCCTTGGACCCTCTGTTTTTGGGACCCCCCAGCCCGCGATGTCTCGCCCAAACTCGACCAACACCCTCCTCCATGCCCGTCCCATGCCCCG